TGGCCAACAAATGCTTTCGTTATTTTGCAACGGAGATTCACGAGGAAACTTAATTACTGTAGCTCAGACAAAATCCCTGGGGTTGCTGCTTCGACTCAAGGTAAGACAAGACTCAAACTGAGCTTGCACATCTCAGTCCTAACAAGAGACTGGTATGCCAAAAGAAAACAGTTAGCATTAGATTAGCGGAGGTCTAAACGATCCGTCTGTGGCAGACATGAACACGGATGGACCTGAACCAAAAAATAACAAGGCCCAACGTGACAGAAAACCGCCCGTAGTAATCAAACATTTGGAATAAAATTGGAACCGACTTGAAATTCGTAATTTCGAAAGGAAAACAAAAGCGCGTCCATTGTTTGAAGACTTGAATTACGGTTGCATTTGCCATCCACAAAAGAACTTCGATTCTAGTTTTCCATCTGGAAATATACAATGTCTAGATTCCGCATTAGAAACCGTTCTCAATCAGCCTACCACTCACGTTCTCCTTGTGGAAGATTTCGACTTGCACGCTCTTGTGGTTTCGACCTCCATTGGTGATCAGTTTAGGGCCGAACTGCAAAAACTGGTCGCCGACCTGCCACTTCACAATCATGTCACTGCCTCTACGAGGTTCAGAACGGGGAACAAACAGTTCATTCTGGACGCATCAGTGGCTACGATACTTCGTTCGAAAAAGCTAAAGCTCTTCCTGAGGAGCAGGACGCGTCAACGAATGAAATTGTGAGATTCACTTGGAAAGCATACAAATACAACCCGAAAGCTGAAAACTGAAATGTTTACATAACCCAGCGGAAGCATTGTGTCAAACATGTCCGCGAAGACAAATTGAAAGACCGCCAATATTTAGCGGAGATTCTGCTGTAATCCTAGGCGACTTTACATGCATGTGAACAAACTTCACAAAGTACAGCGTGGCGTCCCTCATCTTAACACCGCATATGGGTAAACACAAACTACTCAAGGAGCAGCTAATACTCACAGACTTCAATCTGCTTGTATTTTCCAGAACGCAACGCCACCTCATACTATTATCACACATTTCACCTCCCCTCAGAACTTAGCCACAACTCCTTCGCTGCGGCGCACGTGCTGAAGCGACTAATGTGCCTACGCGAGTACAGTTCACCTTGTCCGGATAACATACGCCCTAAGCCATTGAAGGTAGCTGCCACGAGCTTAGCTGAACCGTTATCTCAATTGTTTCAGCACTGTCTTGACGACATGTAGGTTCTAACTATGTGGAAATGTGGAGTAGTCACCACCATTTACAGAGGAGGCAAGAGTGATGTGTCCACAAACTATCGCCCGATTACTGTTCTTCTGGTGCTTGCCAAATTCATGCAATCTGTCGTTGCAGATGCACTCAGGGAATATTTAGAACGATGCAACATCGTTGTGCAGGAGCAGCATGGATTCCGACAAAAACCTCTCATGTGCCATGAACCATAGTTATCCCTGGCAAGTTGGACAGCTGAGGAAGGAGCCAACGCCGCCAACCATGATTTCTCAAAGGTATTTGATCGTCTGAATCATCGTATTCTTCCGCTTCTTCACAAATTTCACAGCTATGGGATCGGCGGCTCTATTCTGGGCTGGATACATTCATCTCCGCTCCAACGCCGCTTGAATGTGCAAGTTCGTAGGGCTCTGTCCGATCCGATAGAGATTCACTGTGGCGTCCCCCAAGGCTCGGCACTTGTACCACGGCTATTCCTCGTGGAAATGTTGACGTCTGACCTTTTATTCTTTGCGGATGATCTCAAGATTTGGAGGGTAGTCAAACAAATATAGGACCACATAGAACTGTAAGGTGATTTCACCAGAGCTTACGAGTGGACGACTCGGAAGATGCTTTAGTGTGTCCCTGTCAAGTGCAGAATAATGAGCATAAGTCATCAGAGGACCTACGAATATCGACTAGGAGAACACGATATGCGACACGCTTCTCATGAGAGTGGTCTTGGGGTGTTCGTGCAGGACGATGTAGGATGATCAAGACAGGCAAAGAGGGCAGTGGAAAAAGTCAGCCAACCCCTGAGCCTACTGCGGAAGGCATTTGTCCGGTTTGATCCTACCTTCTCTTCGCAAATGTTCAACGCTTACGTGAAGCCACGTGTAGAATATGTCATCCGAGTGTGGTACTGTTGGTAAAACATGACCTCACTGCTCTCGAGAGTCCACAACGGATGTCGACAAAAACATTAAGGGCATAGTCCAGCTCCCTAGAAGTCTTCAGTGAACAGTCTGTCTTCTGCGACGTGATCACATACTGGTGTATCAGATCCCCAAGGATCCTAACCACACATGCCGAAATTTATTGGAACTCAGCAACAACACGTCATTAAGAGGTCAAGATTAAATGTTGGACACACAATACAGCCGGTTTGAAGACCGTCGGAAGGTTCTCTCCATTCGTGCATCCCAGCCGTGGAATCTACCTTCTCATTCTGTCATGTCCACTCCTACGTTGAATGAGTTCAGAACTCGATTTGGTGGTGCATTACACCACCTGCATTACATGACTTAACCCAAGTTACTGGAACTTGGGACAACGCAACCAAACTAAATGTATATATGAAATTCACGGTGAGTCCACTACTACGCATGTTTATTTTTTTCTTGGTACCTCCATTTTCGCTCTCACACATTGCCTAAGGAAACTGTTAAGCGTTTGCTTTTATATCTGTGAGAAATCCACTGCTAGATTGTTTAGTTACACTAATTACGGCAACCGAACGTTGGTGTTACAACACTGTACACAATCCCTTTCGCATACCCCACCCGAAAGCCCGCGATTCTCCGCTCGCATGTCGTATTTTGCAGCGCGCTTCCAGTGAAAGCGACCTCAGTGCTCTCGTACAAAACCATCTCGGTTGCTCAGAAGACGTCGTACAGGTAGCATGAAAAGCTATTTAACACGGGACTCCTATGGAAGGCGTCTGGATTATTCTAGCCTACCATGTTTTCACAAATGCTGGATGCTTATATGAAATCCATCCAATTCTGATATCCCTAAGACCACAGCAACACTGGTTGCTTATCTTCTCTTCATTCTTTCCATCCACGGGAGTTGTCAAGCGTTTTCTCTTTTACCCAATAACCTCATTAGTACATTGTGATACAATTTGAATATTGGTCTTATTAGAAGTGAACATATGCCAAGCAGTGAACGGAAATCGCGCCCATTGCTCATAGGATGGACTGGACCAAAGAAGCAAGTTTCCTTAAAAAAAATAACTCACGTACAGTGAGTAGCCCCTTGGTTCAGTTGTAGCTACTACAGTGTCGACGTAGCAGCTAAACCAACGCCAGCCATTCGAAATGATCATAGCACCAGAATGCCACCGCACCTAACTTCAGTTAGCAGTAGAGTCTGTTGTCCACAATGAGTTTTAGAAATCCGTTTGAAGTAAGGTTATTGATGGTTCATTTACCTTGCATGTTGTCAGCTCCAATTCGGCAACTTTGTTGCGACTGTGTCCCTATGAATACTGGCTAAATGACGGAAATGAGAGAATACCCGCCCCTTACATTTAACTCAATGAACTTCGTAGTGAAAGATAAGTGAAGGAACTTCTGCAAATCACGATAGCGTTTTTATGTTATTTTTGCCAACCGGTGTCATTATCGGTGTCCTAAGGGATTGCGAAAATATTTATCCACTGAATATGTGGACACGACCGACCGCAGCGCTGGCAATTTTCGGGAATATGTGCCGCTCGGAACGCGGCTGAGACGTGTCACTTTTTAACCTGAGCGGTTTGTTTCAGCCTTTAAGTCACCAAGCTGGACCACATCAACAGCGCAACTTCCGTAGCCAAGCGTTTCTATTACTTGAACCTCTACCCGAGTGCATGGTTCAGTGTTTTTCCTCCTCATATTAGCTACAGAACCTCCAACATAAATGAGCGTTTGTATTTCAGATGTGGTAACCAAGCTCTGAATTATTACCAAATGCAGCGATGCAAGCCCTGGAAAAGCTAGAATGACTACTGGGAAGCCAAAAGATTGACTTCGCTGCGTGCACGACATTTGCCATCTGCAATCATTTCAAGTTAGATAAACACATTGTCCAATCAATAGCACCTTGATGACCCCCGGAGCTGCAAACAGGGGTCAGTTTCCATTATTGGATGTTCTCGTAAAAGGACCACTATTGAGCCACTGGAAACAGCTGTCTACCGGTTCAAATACTGAGCTACCGCAGCAATCCCCTGACAACTTACATGCTCAGCTGTTAAAGAGTCCTCTTTAAACCAGCCCGAGTTCTCTGCAGTACAAGACGGTCGAGGAGGTTGTCCATTCGCTCAATTTGCTCGTAACCCAAAAATCTGTGTTCTGTGTTGGCTGACATCCGCAACTGTGACGAGTGTGAAGGGGGTTACCTGTTCTCACATGTAAGGAATTTTGAACTGTTAACTTTGGTGACAAATCAACGGAAATTATTCGGAACAAATTCTTTAATGCTAACGACAAGGTGAGCAGATACAAAGCCTCAGGTGTGATCTACAAAATCTTTCGTAAAAACTGCGACAAGTACTACGTGGGCCAGACGGAAAGAAACTTGGTACCAGGCTCCACGGACGGTGACTGGCCATCCAGAGAAGTAATGAGAACTCGCCCATATCGGTGCATCTGGATGCGGTGAACAGGCCAGTTTGTTGGGTGAGAGCCTTACTGCATGTCAATTGCGAAGTGTGTGTTGAACTATTTGTTGCAGCCACAGGGCACACATGATTCTAGTCGGGGTTATTGATTTGTGTCGGAATTCGAGTCAGCAGGACAAACCCACTAGAAATCACGCATCCTAATTTCCCCATGAGCTGTTATCTAAAAGTCCCGGGTTTCTTCCCATCGTCTGTCAACCCAGTAAATACGTTCAATACATGGTGTTGCTATTCTTACTGATGGTGCACTCATAAAGGTTCGCTAAAGCAAAACAAAACTGGTTAAAGTAATAAAACATTCGTCGATTATTTGAATAGACTACTTACCGGGGATATCTGCGTGGATGCGAATGTACTCCTAATGTTTCGCGGGCGGTGTCACACTTGATTCGAGTCCAGTCAATGACTGGTCAACGATGAGTATTTTAGTCTTGATCTTCGCGCTTGACTTTAACTTCTACTCTGATTGGCTCCGATCCATATCCCTCATCCCATCTGGCAGGAGGTTTGTGGGGGAGGGGGGACTGACCTCACACACTCGCATCCGCCGGACACTTGAGCAGGTCCGGCAGTCAGGTGAGCGGCTATCGGGAGAGCGCCATGGACATACGCACAATGGCAAGGCACGCGCCTACCATCGGCGTACCGAGCTTCACTTGTCACTTGTCTCTGTCCACCCCGGGGCCAATGAGCGGTAGGCATGCGACTCTCAACGTGAGCACGGGGGGGGGGGGGGGGCAGACAGCCCAATCGGGGGTGTGATGTTGGTTGAATGACCGAATGCTCTCCAAGATGCCGTTGCAGGCATCGTGCATCATACAACCACAGCAGCATACCGAAACGTTGATAGCCAAAGAAAAGAAGAAAGTTTAGCCTGATTAAGCATTACAGAATTCTGTATATGTGTAGGAAGTGTACTTGGATGTGACAATACACGAATTTTAACTGTCAAAACAGAACCTGATTCTTAATCAAATGAGCCGAAGCGAAATAATTATATACGTTTTGACGTCAGTGGAATTAAGCTGTGGAAATTCGTGTATTGTCAAATCAGAAGTACGTTTCCTACACACCTCACGCTGTAGCGCACGAAAACCGAGCCGCCTCTTGACCACGTCGGGAGAGTGAAAAGATTCATCTTCCTCTACTTTAGGGAATTTAACGCTTCATAAGCCTGCTTGAATACGTTAGCACGATCCTTGATGTTTCGAGCAGGGAAGCGCCAAGTGTGATTGTCATCAGATTACATGCGTCACCAACGGGTATACTGATCCTGGTGACAGCTCTGAGTATACCACAACCTGAACATTGTACGGATGCCAAGCGTAGTCGAGGTGACATATACAAGACAGTGCCAACAGAACAAATACGGAACGCCTCCATGTTTTGAGGCATCCTAAAAGAAGCTATAAGTTGACTGAAAAATACCTTCGCGTGGTACAGATATTATGCCATTGGAATCATGGCGGAATAAAAAAACAGAATCGGAAAAGCAGAAAAAGTCAACCTTTTGTCGTTTGCCGCTCACAGCACTTGCCTTTCTTTCTTGTTTGTTTTCCTAGGAGTGGGAATGAGCTTACCGAAACACTTCCAGGGTCTCCAACCAGCGAAATTGTACATCTCCGGGATCCTAACAAGGGAACTGAGAACAACCGACTGACGCCAACTGCTTCGTCGGATTTTTCATGCCGCTTCTCCCGTTGGTAAGCTCACTACTACGCCTCCTCCTTAAGTTCTGCCCTTCAACCGCAAACAACCTACAATGCGAAGATACTGAACGGGCGTGCGCAATACGTTTATAGCCCAGGGAAAACCTATTTTTCTACAACTACCATACACGAGTGAAGTCAGTGCTAAAATCCTAACTCCTTGTCTTTCTCAAATCCTCAGATATACTTTCCCAGAAGCCAAAATGCAAATCCAGTTCATCGGCAACAGAATCGCAAAATCTAGCCTGTCCATTCCAAATCAATGTGTATTCACTCGTTTTGTTCCTGTGGGCAAGTTACATTGGTGGTGGAACAGAGCTAGGAAACACCATCCACGCGTCTGGCCGACGCGGGCCATGGCACCAAGTTGGCCGAGTCGTTCAAGAGTACCTACCAGGTATGCACCAATCCACTGAAGTGCAACCGTAGGCGCTGATTTGAATCCTTTGAGGCTATCGCGCTCCTGCTGTGCGAGCCATTTGTGCGTTCAGAAAAGATCTGCTCAGCCGTTAGGCCTACCTTAGCTCAACGAAGTGTGACGTCCAGCCCAGGGAATTATGTCCACGCAGCAGCTGTAACCCAATGAACCGCGACTATTAGTAACCAACGATTGTGAACTGGGTGTATTTTACTGGCCCTTAGGTTGTGTTCACTGGTTGTTTTTCCACCTATAAGTCTACAAGCCTGAAGAGAATTGATTGATAAGGTATGTTTATTTGTATTGCCTTTCTTCATCATGTTGTATCGCAGCTGGCTCCTTCACCACACGACGGCAAGAAGAACTCCAAAGACGTGCCGGGAAAGAATCGTATGCGTTGAATCATGTCTGTTTAAATAGTTTTAAGAATGGCCTGAAGGGAAGCTCCTAACAGACATTGCAGCTAACCATATTGCTAAAAGGATGAAAGAAAAATGAAGCCAATGAAAAGTGATCAACTTAGGAACCAATAAGAGACACGCACGAACCAAAAGATAGTGTTAGAAGCCGAGTGGCATTGCGATCCGAAAGCAAAAACAGTGACTACAAGCAGCCAATAAAATTAGCAAAATGATGTGTTTGAACAAATGTCACTAACATCGATATCTGAAGGAAACAAATCGGTAACTAAGAATGTTTTCCAAAATATGAATGTGCAATACATGTCTCCCTAACACATCATACGGCTTTAATTCATTCAGTGGACCGAGTCAGCCAGATCATCATTGATCAGGTGCTCTCAAAAGGCTTTCATCTCATTGTGTCGAACCTACGCAGCATCATATGTCTATGCGAACATGAGCAGTGCAGCTGACAGTTCGAGTATGACCAGTGTTCATATCATCGTCGCAAAGCTACATCCTGAAGTACTAGGCATGAGCTTACGTATTTGTGAATGGAATGCTTGTTGCTGGGATGTGGGTCGGCTTCGAATCAACGGTGCCTCCTAACTATATCATTCCTTGCAGCCTTATTCCTTATGATTCACTCACCGTTTACGGTGTGTTGGTAGCTGTAGTTCAAGCCTCCAATGTTTGTTTTCTTGTACGTCCCCTCAGGGTGCGCGCAGCCACAGTGACAGTATATTCGGTATTGAACAGCGTTGATTCAAGACTGATTCCCAAATCGTCTGCGCTGCTGTAAGCGATACTTAACAACCGGTCACATACAAGCTACCGGCCAACAACTCTGACTATATCACTTCTTAAGAAGCGGTTTACTTAAACGACCCTACAGCATGTATACTTAATTCAGTCCCCTGGGTCAAGCGGATGACTGAGGTGTTCCAACACTTACTAATCACTGCCAACCCTCAGGATATTAGTGCCTCTCCATTTCTTCCACCGAGCTTACCGTCACAATGGCTTATCACCTGAGACAGATATTGGATTTGGCGTTCCCTTCAATCCTCCAGTGTGCCTTCGTTGACTGGTTTTATGTGTGAAACCGACTTACTCGCCCACCAGAGGACAGACTGGCGCTACGTTTTCATCTCCGGAATTCACCGAGTGTGATTGTGTGTGTGTGTGTGTGTGTGCCAAAGAGAAGTTGGTAGTAAATACACTTTAACACAGGCGTCTGTCAAAATGATCAAGGGCCAAAATTCAAATTTGTCCAATTTCAACTGCTTGAAGGCTGATCACGAAGCTGCTTACTGATAATAACTTTTCAAGTTGTGCAGACCACAGAATACTGAATGTGTGATAATCTGACCCCTTGTGATGTGATAAGCATAATCTTTCACTTCGGTTAGACAGCTGAGAATGGTGCCCCTTTACTGATAAGCATACTACTTTCATTGCGTTTTGAAGGTGGTAATTAACTGGCGAGTTGAATCCGGTCACCTGTGTAACGCGAGCGATGGGTGAATAGAACGACACGGTGTTATCAATACGTCATGTAACAGGAACATCCTGTACTTATTTAGGCCGTACCTCTGTACTGAGCTGTTTCTTGGTCAACAGTTTACTCAAGACCTGTATCCTACACGACGGGAAAGGAAAGGTTAGACGAGTCTCTTTAAAATGATCTCTAGACACTAACACTCACAGAAGGGTCAGTTTCACCGGAGACAAGCAAAAAACAAGGAGCATACGTCGAGATATAGCTATTAGTTTACAACAAATGCCGACTGTATTCAAGCAGTCAGCTTAGTGTACACAAGCTCAAACCTATTCGTCACTTTTGTGGGCATGGTTTCTCGGTCTCGCGAGGAATATACACTTTCAATTCATTTCATTTCGACTGACTACGTACTACTGTAACGGCAGGGTTATGTCACCTGTTTTTTACTTGAGATGTCCAGGAAGCACGCGTTGCCCACATTGGGCAAAGCAAACCGTGTGTACTGACGGTGGAAAAAAGGAAAAAGGTGGTATAACAGTCATCACGCCAGCTTATCAAAATAACGACTTAATTATTAAATGGGCTAAGACCGTCTTAGAGTGTTAGAGGCGTCAAGCAATATGAACTAGGGGAACTGCAGAGTTGAGAACAAGTGACACCAAAAACTCTCCACTTGAGACTCTGTCCCAAAGATGAGTATGATCAAAACTATGGACGCAGTTGCGAACGCAGATAGCATTCCAAATGCACGCTAGGCATGCCAAAATCCAACCACGAATACTTAGCCATTGTGGTAAGTGTTTCGATCAAGGCTCAATGGCCTAGTGGTCATGACGTCAGTGGTAAATCATAGCGGCATGGTTCCATTTCCAGCTTCGACTACCTATACCTGGCGGCTGCTACGGATGACGCCACAAACAGCAAACGATGTAGAGACGGTTCCTTTGTCAGCCACCTGCCTTCGGACTGACTTAGGCAAGGTTCCGGTATTCCGAGACTTCCCTTGGTACAACAATCAGTAAAGAAAACAGAGCCCTGTTGACCACCACCATCTGAACAAAGGAAAGTGGATATTTATTCTTGACGTACCCGTGATTCAAACCGCCGATCAACGTCAGGCTCAAGCCCATGATTGGGAGGAATGGTGCTACCTTCATCGGGCGCTCACACTCGACAATATGCTCGCCAAATCAACCATAATCCTAACTTCATCATCAGGGTACGAAGGAAATGGTCCCAAGATGATGAAAGTTTGTTCCAATCCAAACACATGGAGGAAAACGCAATTGAAGCGTGGTGCAAGTGGCGTAAGAAGCTCCCTTCAGAGCTACGCATAAAGTCGTTAAAAAACCAAACCCAGATGAC